TGCTCCCCCCCGACTCCACTGACAGCTAATTGCCCTCCTCCCCCATCCTTTTTCGATTTCTGTTTCTGACAGTTGATTGGCCTATGGCCACTATAGTAACCTTTTTTTGGTTGCTACTTCTCATCTCTGAAGATGGACTCCTGTAAGAGTTCGAAAGCTCAGAACAATAAATCAATTGATTTGGCGCTCGACACGCCTTCTTCCTTACTCAAGAGTTGTGCCGACAGAGAGCAGGGCAACAAAGCAAGTGGATGGACGTCGAGATCGACGCACTAGAAGACATGGCGGATCCAACCACATTGGACAGAACCGCCGAGGGAGTAAGAGTTGAAGAAATTTCTGCCTGACCGGTGGCCATGTACCTGCGCTGTCATAAGACTCTTTATAATAACCCAGTCATGTCGTAGCTAATAATCTTCTGTTTTCTCCACGCCGTACGTTGAATTGAGGATGCTTCAAGAAAATAATCAAAACTTACAACCATAGGAAGAGAGCAAAGCCCGAAATGTAGAGGTTCCTCTGAGCTCGGAAAAGTCGCATCAAGAAGACAGACTCTGTCTCAGGGCGGAAATCCTGCGGGTTATCCTTCAACTTTTGGTACGCATTGCTCTGATTCCAAACACTTCTCGCAGCCTCTGTGAAAAAAATGGCATAAATTAGACCATAACCGAAGTGCTTTTAGGGCGAAACGATTAGGCATTATCAACGACAGCTACATATAGATAGACAGTTCACTCACCGCCAATCATAATTGTGAGAAGACAGATGCAACCACGAAAGTAGAAAGATCCGTAAGAAGCGAAAGCAGACATGATGCTCGATTTGAAGAGGCTGTTCCACCTATAACATAGGATGTTGGTCGTATTCATAGAGAAGGAGAACGTACCGAGTGGAGGAGATGAGGGGCAGTAGAAGAAGGGTGATTATAAATCCCTCCGTGTACAAAAAACCCGCGGTCAACGTCCACATTATCGACATTTTTCTAAAAGTAAAAGGCAGCGTTATAATATGTGTACTATGTGAATCGTAATGCAGGAAGTAAAGCTTAAAAGCAACGAGATCAAAGTCTCCAAGCTTAGTGTGCACATTCAGCGGCGAGCCGTTAGAATCCTACCACGTTGGCGCATCTCCTGGATTTGCCATAATGCATACGCTCGTGCCCACATGGCAGTAGGTCGATCGCGTAAGTGAGCGACTGACTTCGAATCTTATTGGCACATGTAGGGGAAGGTACGGCACGTTCCCAGGGCTTATTGATGCTATCAATGTGCAACATAAAGATCAAGTTCTCTGGTAGTAAAGTTTAAAATGTTATATTCAAAGGAGCCCAAAGACTTTTGAATACTGACATGGTTGATATTTAATTTGCCGCTTATGTGCAGGAGATTTAAATATCAAATCGGTTCGTAGATATTTTATAGCGATGAAAATTATACGGAACCTGACCCTAAATAGAGCATAAGGAGGAATACCGATTATCACCAGCTTGGTCGTTCAAATATTTAACGAGGATTTATGGTTAGTTCTAATGTAGTAATAGCTATAACTAGCGGTGAATTCGGTTTAACATTCACTTTGTTGATTAAAACTTATTTTGTTTTTCGTGTATTGTATAACCTCCGCCGCGATTTTCAGCGATAGCCCATATTTTGCTAATCTCAGACTACAATACAAAAACCTTACTGGCAAACTTCAAGTTGCCACGATAGAAAGGAAAAAGAAATCTGGTACTTTAGTACTTGAAAAATGGGTAATCATTTAGAGTCTCCCTCGAGTTCTTTACGACAAGCACTCCTGCACAGCACGGCATGATAGTGTGCACAGTTAGGCAATTACCTAACCGCCGGAAAGCATCTACTTTCCGTTGCTTCGCACCAGGCTAGACCAAGACATTTTTGTTGCGTTTCGTAATCTGATTGGCCGAAGGTGTTCAGATCACCCAACCTGGTAATTTTTCCTGACTCAACTTCGAGGTTATATTCTGCACAGTCGTAGTCTAGGTCGCAAACGGCAGCGTGACCAGGATGGCTGGTGAGTTTGGGTTTGGCCCATGTTGTCCAGAATTAGCGACAAGCAGACATCCAGTGGACGAAGGAAGCATTACGGTACCTACTGGACTGCCAAAAAGCCACAGGCACCATAACCCCTGATCAGCGAATATTTTTTTACACAAATGGCCACGCCGACCGCCCTGAATGAATCCTGGCAGGCGTTATCGAAGTCGGATTGCCGGCAGCAGGTGACCCTATACATTATATCTATGTTACCAGACTGCCTACTTAGTTTCCATGGGCGGTGACACTCCCAATGCCTATGTGGAGCAGGTTTTCAAAACCCCCTTTGTCGACGAGGTTACAGAGCATTTAACTTTGTTCAGCCGGCAAAACGAAGAAAGTGTATTCTTTGGAATAGCTGCCATAATAATGTGGTCAATGGGACACGCTGCATACCTTAAACTTCCTTCTTTTCAGGGGCCTTCAAAATCTCTAAGGGTTCGCCAACGCAGATTCCCATGCACTGGAAAATGCTTTCAAAAACACTTTCAGCTCAAACGCTAACAGAAATCTGGTGCTGAAAAAGCACCTAACCCTCAG